ATCCTACCAATGCATATGGTTTTCAAGAGGAGGAATTCAAACAAGTTGTTAAAGATGTTGGTTAGTACACTGCCAAGAAGCTACATGAGGATTTCGTTTACGTTGTCACCGTAATGATAATCATAATAATTACTATTATTGTTGTTATTATTGTATTAATATTATTATTATTGCATGATTATTACATGACTAATAACTATTATTATTACATGACTGTCTTCTAGAGTGTCAACTAAGGTGACTTACTGTAAATCCTCTATTAAGCCCACCCTCTCTAATAAGCCCCCCCTTTTCAGAGGAGGAAAGTTAATAAGCCCCACCTCCCCCTCCCCTCCATCCTTATTCTTCACAAACAATTAACGTGGACTGATCAGTTATGGTTAATTCAGGCTGGAAATTCATATTGTTTTTGGTCTTCAGCCGCAAGACCTCCAACTTCATGTGCTGAACTTTTACAACTTTCTGCTCTAGTTCTCTGTGCGTCCGGTAACCACAAGTCAGTCCTCGAGAAACCTTGCTCCCGTTGATGCATTTCGCGGAATTAAATAAGCTCCCCCTCAAAAGTGCTTGAAAAAAATATGCAACTCCAGGTGGCAATTCAGGAGCGGATCCAGGAATTTTTTATTGAGGCGGTCCAAAATTTGGTTCAGAGAGGACTGTTGAACTTGTGGCAAATTACTTCTCCCCCACACCCCCTCCCACCAGGGGGCAAAATTCAACGCGCGATTCATTAAAAAAATCAACCAGTTAAAAAGTGATATACGATCCTTACAGTCTAAAGGAAGCATCAGGTCTGATGGGCGGTGGGGGGTGGGGGATTGGATCAGCCACTGCAATTTTAGCCGTGTGTCCGTCTTATAGAGAGTCAACTAAAAGGAGTAGAGAAGGGCAAATGTACAGGGTGTCTTGAATAGTTACTAGTTTTCAGGAGATTTTTCGTTTGTGTTTGTTGATTTTTTTTATGCGGGTTTGAAACAACTTTCTGGAGTTGACATGTTCATTGGTTCTCACTCAGTTGCAGGAATGAAACACTTGAGAGAGCAGGGAATTGTTCATCGGGACCTCAAGCCAGGGAATATTATGCGAGTGGGAAAAGAAGATGGAAGGTTAGTGAAACAAGAAATTTCCTAGCCAGCTATTTTATCATGTCATTGAGAAGAAATTGCATCTACAGTTGATAATTACGTGTACAAGGATTAAATGCAGATTTCATAAAGACGAAGATATTACATGACAGTACAAGCTGAAAAATGAGCTCGGTTTGCATCAGTGTCTGGACGCGGGGTTTTGGTCACTCATACGGGAGCTTACACAAAGACGTTTTTGAGGGACGCACGTCAACCGGAAGTGAGGGAGAAGGCCTCACTTCTGGTTCGTCCCTCAAAAACGTTTTTGTGTAAGCTCCCGTAATTTGTATTGCGAAGTTTCTTTTCTCTTATAAAGACGATTTACCCAAGAGTTTGAACCAAAACACCTCCCAATGATGCAAAAAGTTCACTTCCGGTGGTGGCTTTGTTACGCCGCAAAATGTAACAATTGACGCAAAATGTAACATTAACGCGAAATATAACAACCTTTGACGCGAAATGTAACATTAACCCGAAATGTAACAACTTTTTAACGCGAAATGTAACAACTTTGTGACGCAAAATGAAACAATATTTTTAACGCGAAATGTAACAAGAAAAATGTTACAGCCTTGAAGTAACTGAGAAGCTTGGACATGAGCCTTGTAGATAAGGTGTAAATTGTCTGATGGTTACAAAAACAGTTTATTTATAAAGTTTTCTTATAATGTCAAATAAACTTACAAAACGCTTTTCGATAATAGTAACTAAATCCTGAAACAGTTCAACGAATTGTTGTTTAGTATATCTTTCTGTACTTATGGGTGACGCTTAAAAGAAAGTTGGCGTTACATAATCCAGGACGTATCAGATGGGTTAGGATGGTACATTTTTAGCATACTCCCTCTAGGAAGTTGAGCCCGTATGAAATCGAGGCGAGTATCTATTACTGATCATTCTTTTCACATTTTCATCGAGTGAAGACGCTTTCTGTTTTTATCCGATGCTGTCTGTTTTTACCCTCCTCCTCCCCTTTTTCCTAAAAGGAAAGTGTAGCGGAGCAGTCATCCGACTTGCGTGAGATAATCAACAATGTTAAATGGGCGTTGGCATGGTTAAGTTTTGAGGCAGCAAGACTGGGTTGGTATGAAATTTCTGACATTTACTGGAAGTGCGGCAAGAAATGAGAAATTTCATATCCATGGTATTGACTACGTTCAAAATTTTCTTTTGAAAGATTACCTTTCTTAACTTTTACTTTTAACTTGCATTTCAGTTGCTGATTGGTGCGTGTTTCCTACGGTGTTATTGTTCACATTTCTAGTCATATTCTTTTCGCATAGCTTGGTGTCTTCCACTGCGTTTGGAATATCTCCGCGTCCGCTGGTTCAACAAACAATCAGGACTGTATCTTTCACTTTTTTCGCTTTATTTCGTTCGTTCATTCGTACATTACAATCGTTTTAAACATTCTACTCAAAATTACAATGCTCACTAGTTTTATGGTTACCACAAGTAAACGCCTTGACTACGTATGTCCGGCCGCAAACCGAACTTGGCAAAGGCTCGCTATTATTTCTTGCGATCTAACACATGAGCGTGATACCTATTTCCTCAACATATCCCACATTATCTACCTTAATTATTATTTACCGCGCATAAACCGATTACAATCAAAACCACTAAGGTTGATAAAAACAAACCGAGTCAATTCTATTATTCGTCATAGGATGTGGTTATACGCCTAAGATAATTTTCTACTTGCAAAGCAAAATCAACTGTTCAACAATTACGAAAAATAATACTAATAACTTGTTACAACTCTTGGGATATTTTCCATACGTTACGTTTAATAAGTTAGCGTTGTTGTTATTGTCCATACTGCTATTCCAAGGTTATACTTGACTTGTAACTTTATCACCTGTTTTACGACCTTTTGTAAGTTTATTTGACATGAGAAAACTTTATGAATAAACTGTTTTTGTAACCACCAGACAATTCACACTTTATCTACAAGGCTCATGTCCAAGTCTCTCAGTTATTTCAAGGCTGTAACATTTCGCGTTAAAAATATTGTTTCATTTTGCGTCAAAAAGTTGTTACATTTCGCGTTAAAAAGTTGTTACATTTTGCGTCAAAAGTTGTTACATTTCGGGTTAATGTTACATTTCGCGTCAAAACTTGTTACATTTCGCGTCAATTGTTACATTTTGCGGCGTAACAAGCTCTCTATTTCATCACGTTTACGTCAAACGGCAAACAATAATTTGTACCACCTGACAAAGTTTCCCCTTTACTTGTCGTTTACTGTTCATTATTTCTACACATAAATTAGTAGTTTCACGTAATTTTGTTATCCACAAGAATCGTTTTGAGCTGTTTTTATCTGCTCATTTTCTGTTTTAAGAAATTGTCAACTCGAATATGACGTTTGCTGTATACGTGAAGCTTAAAACTGTTTATGTGATAATGATCGCCTTTTTCCCGAGAAATATACAGTGAAAGACCATATTTCTAATACTAAACTAGAAAAAGGCCATCATTATTACATCCAAACACGGCACAAGGATCTTTTTTCCCACTTCAACCTTATTCCAAGAAAACTTTAAGAAAAAATGTCCCGAAAAGCGCTCGAAAATACAAACGAAATATGCTCATGCCCCCTGGGCATCCTATAATACTCCTTAAATCGAATTAATTCAATACGGCCGCCGTATCGGTAAAAAGGTCTATTCTGCATCCCATACAAAGACTTAAGCAAATCCTGTCAAGAGGATTTGGGTTTTCCCGAATCCCGTTCTCAAAGTCGATCCCGGTGATTAATATCCTTCCAGTCCCTGTTGCATTGTGGTCATCTGAGGAAACTCAAAACTCGTCTTTTAATGTTGAATTCTGAGAATTATAAAAGTAAAAACTATTCTGTTTCAGCTTTGTATACAAATTAACTGATTTTGGTGCTGCAAGGGAACTGGAAGGTTCTGAAGAATTTATGTCCATATATGGGACAGAGGAGTATCTGGTGAGTCAACAATATTATTGCCTATTATGTTCCGAGCTGAATACTGTCGAAACACTATTGTTCCTTGAGTGGGGCCAGAAAAGTTCAGGGGCACCCAACGTCAATTTTCGGAAAATATCTGTTCGGAAGAAGATTGGTGATCTAGAGTTTTCGGAACATTTATTGTAAAATTCCTTGCTTGCCTGCCTCTCCTAGGATTTTCGAACATCTAAAAAAATGGTATAATTGCCCATTTTTAATGTATTTTTACCCCAAAAAGGTGACCTAGAATTTTCGGGAGCCTTTTTCTGGCTGAAATTTTCGAAAAGGTAAGTTTTGATCCCTATAATTTTCGGATCACTAGACTTTCAGCTAGGGAATCCGAACAGATGAAAAATTTTTAGGGGATAAAAATATGCCTATATCTACAGTTTAAATACTAAAATACGTTCAACAATGCTATGTTTAAGTGGTTTTGAACTATATTCTCGTTGGGTGCCCCTGAAAGTTGTCTTGTATTTTTTAAAATGAGGTATCAAGGTCCGTTTCCACAGGCAGATTTTGTGTGATTTTGACGCCATTTTGGGTCAGATCTTAAATCAGCCGTGTGAACGAGTGGTGTTTTCATGGCCAGTGGTGATCATCACGACCATCTCCACAACGCGTGTCGCATTCACGTTTAGAGACGCAATCGTGCCGGCCCTATTTCCTTTTCATTATACAGTGACCAAAGCGACTGTTCGATATGCGTATCAACATACCGTATTAAATAGGACGTATTAAGGAATACGTGAAACATAACGACGCGCAAATTTTCCTCTTTTTCTTGAACTTGATTGCGGTTCCTATAGTGGTCCAAATCCAGGATACAAAAGAGCGAGCTGGAATATGCTTTTAATGTCAATCCATTTACTGAGTGTCGCATAGGCGTCTGAAATAGCTTGGTAACGAAAACCTGTCTGTAGATATACGTCTTCGATTGCGTAGTGTTAAAGGTCGGAACAATGGTAAAATGTTTGTAAGAACGCGGAGCTTGGTTTTCGTTAAAACGAGGGAGGGTAGACTAGTCTGAGGGACCACAATAGTGTGCTTCAATCCCGTAATCCCGACCCAAAACTTCGGGCAATCCCGTAATCCCGAGGGTTATTTTTGGTATCCTACCCCCCCTCCCCGCGCATTCCGTTAATCCCAAATCTTACCCCGATTTTGTTTTAAAATCCCGAATCCCGAGCTTCGAATAAGGGAAATACTGTATCCAAAAAATCCTATTGAGGACCAACTAGTCTATAGCAAGGACGTGACCAATTGAACGCTTTTAATGCTTGTAAGAACGCGGAGCTTGGTTTGCGTTAAAATGAAGGAGGTTAGACTTGTCTGAGGGTCCACAATAGGGCTCTTAAATCACGTAATCTCGACCCAAAACTTCGGGCAATTCCGTAATCCCGAGGGTTATTTTTGGTATCCCACCTCCCGCGCATTCCGTCAATCCCGAATCCCGAGCTTCAAATAAGTGAAATTCCGTATCCCGAAAATCCTATTTGAGACCCTTTAGTCTATAGCGATGTACACTTTTATTGCCACGGGTGTACTGGCTGATTCAATGCTCCCTATTTTAGTTTTGATTCATTTTTAACTCACTCTATGTCAATCTTTGTAGCACCCGGATCTTTACGAAAGAGGTGTTCTACGTAAACATGGTAACAAGGCCTTCAGTGCAACAGTAAGTATCAAGGTTCTCATAACACGGGTGCTATAATTTGTTACAAGGTCTCAAAATAACATGATATCTCGGTGGCTTTGTATTTCAGGTAGACCTGTGGAGTATTGGTGTCACATTTTACCACATTGCCACAGGACAGTTACCTTTCAGGCCATACGGCGGACGACAGAACAGGGACACCATGTAGGCAATCCTTTATGTTGACTGTTTATCACAGTCGGGGTCCTGACCTCATCGATATTTATAATACACTGTGAATTTGATTTGATATTTCTTGCTCGATTAATTATTTAGCACAGTCTCCATCGATATTTATCATGATTATTATCGCGGTAAATTGGATCAGTTTTGCTTAGAATTAAGATAGTGAAGTACACCTTGATGTCCTTAGGCACATCATAACGTCAAAGAAGAAATCAGGTATCATCTCTGGAGTGCAAAAGAGTGAAGGAGACAACATCGAGTGGAGTGACAAGCTCCCTGAACACACTCGTTTGTCACAGTAAGTCGTTATATATTCCAATAATATTTAGAGACCTTTAGATTCAAGGACGAGGAAGGCAACTAGTACGAGATTTGACTTCAAGTTTTTTCGCGTATTCTCAAAATATAAACTCCCCGGAAAGCTTCATTGTACCATATTTCACTAGAAGAGTTAGCACTGTTACCTTAAGTGAAGGAGGTTTCGCGCTTTCCCCATCGCAAAATGATAAAACTTGTAACATTTGATATCTTGTTTTTGCCACCACGACATTCGCGCTAAAAATCGTAGTAGAATGCCGACGGCTACCACCTTTTCCCGCCAAAATGTCGCTGGTTTGCGCGCGAGCACTACTTAAAATTGAGAAAATCTCGTACTTGTAATCATACTCGTCTTAGAATCTAAAGCCATCTGTTATTAGTCTCGACGGCGATTCAATAACAAATTGACTATCGTGAGACTGACCCTTTTTTCCTATATCATTGGAAGCTAAGAAATCTAATTTGTGCTTTAACTGAAATAATACCTTAAATTACTGTAAACTTGTCGCACGAGTAGTCGTGCAATCCAGTGGTTAAAAAATCTTATAAAACCGTTCTGTGCAATATTTAAAAGTTGGCATAGGTTATTGCACCCAATGGTGTTTGCAATATAATGATTGCGTTTATAGCGACAACATTGGACCAACCTTTCCTTTGTTGTTTGGAACGTGTGGATTACCAAGCCTTATTAATAATCGCTTTTACATTTCAGGGGCCTGAAAGACCTATTGACTCCTGTATTAGCTGGGGTATTGGAATCAGAACCAACCTCGACCTCAATGTCATTTGAAACTTTCTTTGCCGCCGTCCAGGATATTTTGTCCAGAAAGGTATAGGCTCTGCTGTAATTACGTTTGATTAAGCTGTGATGTAATGAAGAATTCTCTGACTCATCTAGACTGCGAGTAGTCTGTCTTTTTCTTCAGATTTAGTGAGAGCAATGCACGCGCGTCCGTCACGCGCGTGGCCATTTGCATGTCTCGCGTTTTACTCGACGGACTACAGAAAACAGAGAGACTGCTCGTAGTCTATGACACATCTAGCAGCAAATTAAAATTATGCACCTGAAAACAGTATCTTATTCTCTTGAAATCATATATCTTAAAAGGGATTTTGTCGGTTACTCAAAGTAACCCACCCCACCGTTAATTAATTATGGCTCGATAATGTGTTGTTGTAATTTTGAGGCCTTGGGTATAATTGTTTTATGTGACCTTCAACTGAAGCCTTTTAAACAGAACTTGCATATGGAATTTATTTTGTATGATTAGGGAAATTTGTGTTTAATTTCTTTGTCATTTATTAGGTTATTGACGTGTATTCAGTTCACTCGGCCTCATTTCACAAGATCTACATCAAGCCGAGTGAAACGTAAGTCGGAAGCTCTTTAATGTAGTTTTTATGGGGGCTATCTTACTGTTTTAAAGGTCGAAAGGTGTTGTTCTAAGTCATTTTTGAAACACGAGGAGTGTTCCATCCGATCGGTATCGAAACACCGAGTCGCAAGAAGTAACATACTATATTCAAGAAGGGGCTTTTCATTTGATGTCCAGAAATCGAGAATTGATTTATCAAACACGAGAGTATTTCATCTGATATCCAAACACCGAGGGATGATATGTCAATTACAGGAAGGAGTGTTTCATCTTATACGCAATACATACCGAGAAGTGATATATCAAACACAAGAATCGAGGGCCATTTCCGAGTTCCCACGGTCCTCTGTTTCAAAACGAGGGTAGGTGCTCAGCCTTTGATATGGAAGTCATTTTTCATTCTCATGCAAATAAAACTCATTTTCACAAGAAAGGTTGTGCGCCTAGCCTCATTTTGAAAGTGAGGGTTTTTGGAACTCGGAAGTGGCCGTTTGTCATCTGGCCCCAGTTGTGCAAAAGTGGGATAGCGCTATCCACCGGATAAATCATTATCTAGTGGATAAGTATTAGGGAAACCAATTACGCTATCCGCTGGATAGAGATTTATCCTATGGATTGCGTTATCCGTCTTTTGAACTACCGGGGCCTGATATCCAAAATCATGAGGTAATATATCAAACACGAGTGAGAGTGTTTCATGCGATCTCCAAACACCGAGGATTAGTCAACGCGGTAAGTGAGAACAAGGTAGCATGTGATTATTTGATGTGCTCCGAGTCCTCTTAGACTTACTGGTGTTTATTTTTTTCTCCTCAGGTTTGCCAAGTTTCAGGAGCTTATTGCCGTACAGACTGGCGTTAGCGCGGCACAACAGAAGCTGATGTTTAAATACGAGGAGTTTAAACCAGAGCCTATGGCGCCTGCTTCCTCGTATCCGGACACTTCAGTGAGTGTGTTTTTGCTTCTGTAGAGCAGGTAGAAAGCAACAATGTCAGAGAATTCGTGATTTTTGGAAATTTGCCAATTGTATGAATTCCAACCAAGTTTTTCCATGGTGGATAGTATTGGTAGGGGAGCTAAGTTTCCATTTAAGCGAGTTCTTCACATTCAGAGTTAAAGAAAATTACTGAAGAACGCAGGGGTCAACTTCTAAACGAACATTATTTTGAAAGATGTGTTCGTCTGATAGAGATTTCTGTTAAGAGAAACTGTTGGCTCTATCGCCTTTAGATATTCTAATGGCGTGAATTTAAGGCAGAAATCGCTTAACAGGAATTAAATCAGAGTTGCTACCTTGAATGCTAGAAGCAAAACGTAGAACTAATATAGAAAAAGTTTGAACTTTTAAACTAGTTTAGTTTAAAAATATAGATCTTACTGTGGGAACATTATCCTATAAACCAGTAGATTATTTAATGGTAAGCATTTTTGCACGCACAAACAAACTTTACTGAAACAGATTTTTTTTCAATTTCTGTGGAGTCAGTGAGTCAGGATTTATGTATCCCAGGATTGAGGGATTATTTTAACTTCTTTAACGTGTTTGTAATCCTGGGCCTAACAAGTGTTTATTCTTTTGAATTCTTATAGGACGATTGTTATATGGTTATGATTGGTGGTGATAACATGCCCCCGGACAGACTCTTCCTTCACAAAATACGTAAGAAACGAGTCATGTTTTGGGCATACAACCTGATATATGTTAGCTTTAATCCAGCTTCTTCGAGACACTTTGGATTGAATTTCGTACATCAAGAACAAATTAGTTACACCAGCCAATCAGAATACGAGGAGAAATTCAAATGAACCAATCAGAACTTGAAGCAAATGTGTGCAGCGGGATTAAAGCGCGGCAAAGCGCCTGCAACTCTTGCAACACCAAATACGGCGTTAGGAAACGTCTCGTGTTTTGGTCCTAAAATTTGATATATTTTAGCTTTAATCGAGCTAGTTGCAGCCATTTTCGGTTGACTGTGGTACAACAAGAACAGTATATACCTGTAATTACACCTGCCAATTAGATTACAAGCAGAAATTCACGTTGACCAATCAGAACTTGAAGCAAATGTGTGCCGCCGGCTAAAAACGCGGGAAATCGCTTGTCAGTCAACAAATTACTCATGCAAACCAGTCTGATAAGCCGAGGGAGAGAGGGGAATTTAATTATTTTTTTATCCAGACACCTATAGAGGCGATAAGCTTGCAGTATAGTCGAAAAATCATCTGCAAATGGCCTCATGTGTTTAGGAAAACGTTGCCAGAAGTCTTCATGATTTTACATAGGAATAAACTGAATATACCACGAAATACTCATAGCTCTGAAAAAAATATCAGTTGTAAACTAAAGCTACCATGCTTTCTTTTTCTTCAGAAAATAAGAACCTACACAGCCTAAAGTTGTGCTTATTATACCATTTATGTAAGAACCTTTTTAGGCTAACTTGCGAAAATGCCGGCAGGTTCTTAGTCGCGGGTTTCTACTGTACTGGACAAACTGCTATTATCTACCTACATGCTTTCTTTACAGCAAATCTCCCCAAACTACCTGAGCAGGGCACCCTGGAGACTGATGCTGCAATTGCCAAGGTTACGTTATTCCGACGTTCTTTCACTTGTGTTGCACTTATTAACCGAGAGTGCGGTCATTACAGGGAAATCTCAGACCCGAGGCTTTGATGTATTGACCGAGCTATAGCAAAAAAAAGTTTAATGATTAGCTCGTCACTGGGCCTTTGTATTTCCTTGCTTATTGCATTTTCGAGCTGGATTAGAACGAAATAACAGTGGCTAAATCTAAACTAGAGACAAATATTTGGTCTGAGGCATAGAGTCTAGCGTACGAATAGTTTGGCGTCTGAAACGGATAATTCGTCTTTAAGTCTATATCTGGGCGGGAAAAAGGACGTATAGAACGGTAGAAAATTAGTTAGGCCCTCGTTATTTTTTGTCGTCTATTAACCCGTACTTTTTGTAATTGTAATTTGACATGGTTTTTATTTATCGAAACAGATGATGGCAAATCGTGCACACTGCTGTAAACACGCCGTCCTGCAGTATTCTAGGGCTACAAAAGCCATGATGATTACCATTGAAAGCATCCAGTAAGTGGATTATATATGAAGCCCCTATATCAAAATCCACATTCTTCAATCTGTTCTCCATATGTTTCTTTCGGTTTAATGGGGAGAATTTGTCTAAACATCCAGACGTTTCAGGCGAAATGCAATAGAGAGATTTAAAGTCACGTTTACGGCAAACGTGAGATTCAAGTTGAGAATTTCTCAAAGTAGAAAAAGAGCAGATGAAACAGTCCACAGCAATTCTTATTGATTAAGTGACGTGAAGTTACTAATTTTTAAGTAGACGTAATGAAGACTAAAAGAGAAGTAAACAGAAAACTTTGTCAACGAGATGCCAATTAACGTTTGCGGGAAACGCGTCTCTAAGTCTCTCTAATGCTGTTTACTGTTAAGTCAGTGTTAGCTTCCATCTTGGAGAAAATATAAAAAGATAAAATTAAATTATCTGCCGTAACGTTTTTGAAGAATGTCTTTGCAGTAAGTATTTCTTGAAGTCTGAAACAACTTGGTTCGCGTCGTGTAAACCTGATCGAGCTTCCCTTCTTAAGCTTGTTTTGTATGGAAGGGATACCTCTGGTAATTTAGCGCAGGAATAGTGATATTAAGATTATGTAGAATTAAGTACCTGCTCGTAAAAGTACGAACACTGAAAAGAATTTTGTTACTGATAACATTAAGCTACAGAGTTTACGAAAAGGGAAGATCAGAACGACTGTGAGATTTGTTGGAATCTCGAAATCTCTTGGTGTCCTGTGCGAGCGTACTTATACTTTGGGTATCCTGTGTGATTGTCACGCGTCACGACGTTCGTGAGGCTGCATGGTCTGTCCTTCCACTGTGCCATCTCTTCTTACCAAAAGTGATATGCAGACTAGTTGAGGTCGGTTTCTTTCTGTTTCAGCAAAAACTTGAAGAAGGAGATGATGTTATATGTGTCTTTCTGCAAAGAAGTGGAATCGCAGTGGGCATCACTCAAGCAGACCTCAGAAGTTTACTTTGCCAGGTATCATTTGACCACAGGCTTACCACTTTCAGTTGGTTACCTAGTTGTGAATAGCGTAATATTAGATTGGAGCAAGCTAAAGAAACCAAACGTTTTCGTTGCCTCATCTTCAGGCGAATCTCTGCTGACGTCACTGTTTACGTTTTGGCTCATTAGCATACGAGTTAACCCATAGAGGGCACAACCGTTTGCTCAAATTAAATTCAAAAGTTGAAAGAGTTGGTTAATTTGCGCAATTTTACAATTTTCAGCTTTTGCAAGTAATTACAAAGGAAGTAACAGTCATCGAAAACTGAGAAATTGCTGCGGGGTGGCAAAAACGTTAATTGCATACTAGACAGTGATATTACTTCTTAAATCATGCGGCCCAATTAAGTCTACAAATTTATTTAAGGACGTAGTAATGTTTTTGTTAAATTCCAATTAATTTTGTTTTGCTCAAGTAACATGCAGAAAATATTTTGCGACAATAAAATCTTTTTTTTTTCTATTTTTAGTCAAAATCATCTGGTGTGGGTTTTTGAAATGATTTTGTCAACACTTTCAGGACCACAAGGTAAGACCAACAAATCATTTTGTTTTCTAAGTTTGTGTTTGTGCCTTTACGATTTGTCATCTCTCTCCCTGGAAGCGGGGTGGGGGGTAGGGTTACTCCCTTCATATAGCCTATACAGAGCTGTGCCACTGGACAGGGTATGGTTTTGACTTCTCTGTCCTTAACAGGCTATATAATTTTTTGCGAGTCTGGCCTAATTATAAATAGGATGAGATTTGTTTATAGGTACAAAACCAATGACTATAATGTGAATTTGCTCATAGTTATTAGAGAAGACTGGTTATGAAAGACAACGAACATCAAATATAAAAACAACAGTGCTACAGTTTATGTTGGAAGCTCCCTGAAGGTGCACAATCCTTTGTTTCCTGTTGGCAAATTGCGACCGAATAAATTAATGAAACGTTTTTATTGTTCAGTATGATCAAAATGATAGGAATGCTATTGAACGTTGTGAACCGTCAGGTCCACAAAAACATATATCAAAGGAGTCTGACGGGTTTCATAACCATTCCAATCTATTAACTATGATTTGCTCCATTGCAATTCCCAATAAACGGCTTAAAAACAAGGTGGCGCAGATTTGGCCTTTGTCCTAAATAGAGTAATAAAATTGAGGGTGTTGTCCTAAACGGGGTATGAATTTTACGATTTTATTTTTTGTCCTAAACAGGGTCAGGCTTTTTAGACCCTCAGCGGATCACCAATACCCAAATATTGGTCGAGTACCCCACTCTCCCCCCACCGCCTCCCCCGTGGAGTCTTTCTTACTCTTTGTGTATTTGAAAACCTTTGTATTCTTTTGAAGGTGAGCTGGAAGTAATTCGACAAGACGTTCAAACTATAAAGAAATGGACAGAAGCTAAAAAGCAGAGTGAGACAGAGGTGGGATTATTGATGGGAATATCGATAACAACAGCAGCTCATTTAACTCAAGAATGCCAGTAGTCAAATTTTATAAAAAATTGATTTTATAGACTACAAAAGGTCAAATCAACTATGTTGAAATATCACAAAAGAAGTTTTATCAGTTTGTTAGATTTTGTATTTTTACCCGAGGAAATTTTAGTCAGTAGGATGATAAACTTTTACGGTCGAACAGGAGCGCATATGGGCTCCTGAGACAACTGTATAGGAAATTTTGAAAAGTGGTTCTAGCGCATGTCGCTGCATGTAACGCCCTCAATTTTTTTTTCAGTAGAATCGCTAGCAGTGAAGCTTTAGTGACAAGGTGTATGTATTTATAATTTGGATGAATGTTTGGTCTTCCACTAAGAGTGAACTGAATGCACAGAGCGCAATCTGATTATGCGATTGTATCCAACTGAAAGCACACGGCGCAATCTGATTATGCGATTGTATACAATTGAAAGCACAAAGCGCAATCTGATTATGCGATTGTATCTAATTGAAAGCACAGAGCGCAATCTGATTATGCAATTGTATCCAAATGAAAGCACACGGTGCAATCTGATTATGCTATTGTAACCAACTGAAAGCACAGAATGCAATCTGATTATGCGGTTGTATTTAATTGAAAGCACACAGCGCAGTCTGATTATGCAATTGTATCCAATTGAAAGCACACAGAGCAATCTGATTATGCGATTGTATCCGCTTGAAAGCACACAGCGTAATCTGATTATGCGATTGTACTCAATTGAAAGCAGAGAGCGCCATCTGATTATGCGATTATATCCAATTGAAAGCACAGAATGCAATCTGATTATGCGGTTGTATCCAGTTGAAAGGACAGAGTGCAATCTGATTATGCGATTGTATCCAGTTGAAAGCACACAATGTAATCTGATTATGTGATTGTATCCAATTGAAAGCACACAGCGCAGTCTGAAAATGCAATTCCATCCAATTGAAAGCACAGAATGCCACCTGATTATGCGATTGTATCCAATTGAAAGCTTAGAGCGCAATCTGATTATGCGATTGTATCCAATTGAAAGCACACAGTGCAATCTGATTATCCGATTGTATCCAATTGAAAGCACAGAGCGCAATCTGATTATGCAATTGTATCCAACTGAAAGCACACAATGCAATCTGATTATGCGATTGTATCCAATTGAAAGCACAGAATGCAACCTGATTATGCGATTGTATCCAATTGAAAGCACACAGCGCAATCTGATTATGGGATTGTATCCAATTGAAAGCACAGAATGCCACCTGATAATGCAATTGCATCATCAAAGCACAAAAATCTGATTATGCGATTGTATCCAATTGAAAGCACACAGCGCAATCTCATTATGTGATTGTATCCAATTGAAAGCACAGAATGCCACCTGATAATGCAATTGTATCCAATTCAAAGCACAGAATGCAATCTGATTATGCGATTGTATCCAATTGAAAGCACAGAATGCAATCTGATTATGCGATTGTATCCAATTGAAAGCACACAGCGCAATCTGATTATGGGATTGTATCCAATTTAAAGCACAGAGCGCAATCTGATTATGCGATTGTATCCAATTGAAAGCACAGAGCGGAATCTGATTATGTGATTGTATCCAATTGAAAGCACACAATGCAATCTGATTATGCGATTGTAACCAACTGAAAGCACAGAATGCAACCTGATTATGCGATTGCATCCAATTCAAAGCACAGAATGCAATCTGATTATGCGATTGTATCCAATTGAAAGCACAGAATGCGATCTGATTATGCGATTGTATCCAATTGAAAGCACACAGTGCAGTCTGATTATGCGATTGTATCCAATTGAAAGCACACAATGCAATCTGATTATGCGATTGTATCCAATTGAAAGCACACAATGCAATCTGATAATGCGATTGCATCCAAGTGAAAGCACAGAATGCAATCTGATTATGCGATTGTATCCAATTGAAAGCACACAACGCAATCTGATTATGTGATTGTATCCAATTGAAAGCACACAATGCAATCTGATTATGTGATTGTATCCAATTGAAAGCACAGAATGCGATCTGATTATGCGATTGCATCTAATTGAAAGCACAGAGCGCATTCTGATTATGCGATTGTATCCAATTGAAAGCACAGAGCGCAATCCTATTACGCGATTGTATCCAATTGAAAGCACACAATGCAATCTGATTATGTGATTGTATCCAACTGAAAGCACAGAATGCAATCCTATTAAGCGATTGTATCCAATTGAAAGCACAGAGCGCAATCTGATTATGCGATTGTATCCAATTGAAAGCACAAAGCGCAATCCTATTGTGCGATTGTATCCAATTGAAAGCACAGAATGCAATCTAGATAATTATGCGATTGTATCCTGTATCACTCGTAATTCCTTTCTGTGCGCTTTGACTTTCTGTCGAGTGAAACGTACGCAAATCACAGCGTTAAAGCAAGAACGTTTTGTTCTTCAGACGGCTCCCACATGCGATCGACCCCACCCGCATTACCTGACCGTGACGTTTGGTTATTCTCGGCTTCCACACTCAAGATGTCACCAAAATTCAAACTAAGGAATTATCGATTATTTTGAGTGTTCTTTTATGAGTTATCACAGCGGCTAAACACCTTTATTTATACAAATGCTCAATTGGAAAGGGTTCTTCGTTTTTCGATAGAGGAAGCTTGAATTTCTAAGCTATTGGCAGGGAAAGCTCTCACGTAGGTGGAAAATGTTACCGATGTTTTAAGATTTTTCTACCTAAACATTTCTTCTTTCAAAATAAATATTTCTTTAATCTTTATGAGTTCCTCAAGCGATGAATTCACGCGTTTGTAGCAAAACTCAAAGACTAATGTTTTTGTTGGTTTCCGGCGGCCATATTTGTGCCCTCACAGGAACACCAACACAGCGTCTACAAACAAAGCTTTATGATTTTGGGTCAAAACTTTTCCCGCGTATCTCGCATATGAAATATCGCTCACACCTGATTCTTGGCGAGGTTTTTTGGATTTTTTTATGCTCTTCCATTTCCTAGATTCTGGGCTTTCTGTATTGAAAACAGAGTTTTTACTCGAGCGTCGACCAAATGTATTAAAAGAAATGGCGGCGCGCTGAAAAAATCGAGCGAATATAGCGAAAGTTTCAATCCAACGTTTTCTTTTCTGAAATCTTCATTCTTGTTAAACTTGGTAAGTAAAAAAGAGAACTGAAATTCATGCTTCTTTTAAACAATTCATTACCTATTGATTTTAAAAATTGCATCTACTTCTCTTTCTCAACAGTTGCACAAAACTAACCAAGGATTGGATCAATTCAAGACTCTGATTTCTGAAATTGTAGAGAACGACAGATTTCTGGCCTTCTTACAACAGTTCCGGAAGGACACAGCAAATCAAACTTTGTAAGAAACGTTGATAGTCTTTTAAAATGGGCAGTTTTATATTATGAGTTATTTTGCGTTTTAAAGAAAAGTGAATTATAGATTTTGAGAGGATGTAGGTATCAATTAAACAATTAATTAACCGCAACAGCTCGGCGGTAAACGAGAACTCATCTATCTTTTCCATCTTTTTGGTTTGTTTGTTTGTTTGTTTTAGCTTTAATGTGGTTTCAACCTACACAGCTCGCATTGAAGAGATTTATCAGATGTTTAGAAAAGATAAGCACCAGCGAAGTAAGTACTGGCGTTGGAGCTGTGCGAAGTGAAAAAGAGCGCGATAAATAGAACGGGCTATCATGTGAATGGTCATACTTAAGGATTTCATCCACATACTCAAAAGTTAGAACCACCTTTTACAGCATAATAAACAGTACCGCAGGAAAGTTCTCCTCAGTAGCTTTCATTTGAATCGTTACAACATACCCCGACATTATGCAAAATAGGGCCATTTATACGAGGAAAAATAAGACGCGAACTTTCGTATAAACGGCACATTTCGTCTAAAATAAGTCGCGTCTTATTTTAGACGAAATGTGCCGTTTATACGGAAAATTTGCGTCTTATTTAGGACGCGTCTTATGTAAGACGCGTCTTATTTTTCCTCGTATAAATGGCCCTAATGTGTCGCTGCCTTCGTGTATTGCAGTGGCTACTTCATGTGTAACATTGTTCTTTTTAACGTTATGAACACATGAAAATCATATAATGTGAACTGCGGAGTAAAGAGAGAATGTGAAAGAAGATCATCGCAGTTATAGACGCAACTTTTGCAGTTGCTAAAAGGAAATTTCAAACTTCCTTTTCGCAGCTGCAAAAGTTGCGTCTATAACTGCGATGATCTTCTTTCACTTAATGACTTTTCTTTTTAATATTAATTTTAGGATTATCCTACGGGGATGAACAGAGACATGGTTTTGACAGGAAAAAGGTCGTAGAATTTTGCGACAAGGTCAACAGAGTAACAGAAGAAGCTCTGGGAAAAAGAAGTGAATTACATGGACAGCTTGTTCAGTGGCTGAAGTAATTGTTATTACATGTAGATGTATTTTAAAAACGTTGATACTGTCCTTGTCTGGTCTTACATAAGTAATCATTATTCATTCGAAATTTTTCGTTTTTCTGATAAGCTCCAAACCCCTGGAAAATAGGCCACTTCCGAGTTCCAAAAACCCTCACTTTCAAAATGAGGCCAAGTGCACACCCTTCTTGTGAAAAAGAGTTTTACTTGCATGAGAATTAAAAATCATTTCCATATCAAAGGCCGAGCACTTAACCTCGTTCTGATACGGAGACCCGGGGGGACTTGGAAATGGCCTATTTTCTATAACCAGCTGCCGCTGACCGTATTTGAAAGATGTATCAATCAATCAATCTATCATTTATTTTAACACGTTACGTCAAAGAGCTAAAAAACTCTGTTCAAAATACGAACGTGTAGGTGTATGTAGGTAATGACCAACCAAAACGGTTTGTGCTGAATAACATTTATTGAAAGAGTTTATACCCTGGGGGCAGAGGCTACTTTTCGCGCCAGTTCACAACGCGGCATTGTAGACGAAAAGCGGAATTTCTGGCTAAAATTGAACAGAAGAAATACGTCAAAAATATTGCTATATGAATGCCATCATGTTTTGACTACGAGATGAATTCGGCTCTCGTATGATATGAAGAATTATGCAGTTCTGGGAGCCTGTTATCGCTAACAATCTCCTCGATCTGCGTAATTCTTCACATTGCTCATTAGCATACCATTGAACCCATGGAAGATGTAGCCGTATAGGTTCAATTAGGTTCAAAAACTAAACGAGCTGGTTATTTTATACAGTTTATTCAACTGTCAGCTCTTTGCAATCAGTATCAAGGAAAATAGCAGCAATTAAAAACTACAAAATTACTGGGTGGCAAAACGTTAATGAGCACATATAAATTATTCTTTGTAAATTTTGCTGTTTTTTCATGAAGAATTTCTCCGAAACTATTTGGTATATCAGACTCAATTTTTTAGAGATAACTGAAATTGCTATTCTCTCTCAATATTCAGGAATTACATTTTATTAGCTTCATCAGAAAATAATAAGCCCATGCTAATGAGGCAAAAAATGTAACCAAGGATTCGCCTTTAATTGTTAAGTACCCAGCGATCGGGCTTTCAACATTGTTTCTATTTAAAATTAAAACAAGTAGACAGGCCTCTTTTTAATCACCCTTGTTGGACTTTTCAGTGAGGTGAATCGTTGCTTTGAAGAAGCCGAGAATTTCCATTCTTCATTTATTACACAAACTGAAGCAACCCAAATTCATCTTAATGCTTTGCAACAGGTGAGACATAAGAAAAAAAATGCACTTAATTTGAATGACAATGTATTTAGCACGAAAGGGGACACTATTTTTACGTCTCCTTCCGGAGACGGGACCGCCATTTTACCTGGTCTTCTGATCCACGCGAAGGTCTCGCCGCTTGCAGTGCAAAGGTATTACCTTCATTTCTCTGTTATTTTAAGACCTTGAGTGTTGATCCGGCCCCGGGAATCGAACCCACGACCTCCCGCTCTGCAGTCAAGCGCTCTACCGTCTAAGCAATCCTGTCGCGGTTACAAAAGGTGTACAGGCCGCTAATCCTGCCGCGGTGAAGAAAGGTGTACAAGTCGCGAGTGAAAGTAGTTTAGGTGTTCCGGTCAAGCCGTTTTTGGCGCAGGAATATTTTCTTGATTTCGTGAACAAAATTCGGTGGAATCTCAGTAACGAGTGTATCACATTAGATGAGGTGTATATTGTGTTCTGGCGTAGGTTTTCTCACACGTTTTGAACTGGTTTGACAAGTTAAGATAACTACGTCGGAAGGAGGAGCTTCGCGAAAAGTATTTTGGAACAGAACAACCATTGTGGTCAAAAGTGTTGAGTTGGTCAACTTTCCACCTCCCAACAAGGAAATGCTAAGGAAATCGGGATAAACTCCGTTCGTTTGGACTTTAAGCTCGTGTGTGCCGACTTTTTTGGCTCGTGAATGCAGACTTTTTTGGCTCGTATTTGCAGACTTTCTCATCTGCTTTAGCCATCGATGTACATTATTTGTGTTATCTTTGTTTTTTAGTTTCAAGAAGAATGTAAGGAGAAATCCGAAGCCATTGTACAAAAGCTTCAAAAGATTATCACTGCTTCAAGCTCTGCTAGTACAAAAACTGAACCAGCTGCCGCCGCTGTAAACGATAATACTAATGAGACTTTAGATGATGGAGTAGTGCAAGCACTAGGAAATGAGTACGTATTACAAAGCAATTTTATTTTTTAATGTGTGTCAGTTTAACAGCATCCTCCTTGAGACTACCTGGAAAGGTGAGACTGAGTAAACTGTAGAAAATACTTCTCAAATTTTATGAATAATTCATCAAGAGAAACCAAAAAAAAATTCACTGATGTAAAAGTATTAAGGCTATATATTGAAAGTTATCATAAAAATTGTACAAAATTTAGTTTACAATATCTAAGTATGACCATTCAAAACACTGAAGCATTTCATCGACGGGCTCCAAAAGTTAAAACCATCTTGTACAACATAATAAACAGTACCACAGGAAAGTACTGCTCAGTAGCTTTCATTTGAATGGTCACACTTTAGGATTTTATCCACAGACTCAAAAGTTAGAACTACCTTGTACAGCATAATAAACAGTACCACAGGAAAGTACTGCTCAGTAGCTTTTATTTGAATGGTCACACTGAAGGATTTCATCCACAGACTCGAAAGTTAGAACCACCTTGTACAGCATAATTAACAATACCACAGGAAAGTACTGCTCTGTAGCTTTCATTTGAATGGTCACACCCTAGGATTTCATCCACGATCTCAAAAGTTAGAACCCCCTTGTACAGCATAATAAACAGTACCACAGGAAAGTACTGCTCAGTAGCTTTCATTTGAATGGTCACACCCTAGGATTTCATCCACGATCTCAAAAGTGAGAACCACCTTGTACAGCATTATAAACAGTACGACAGGAAAGAACTGCTCAGTAGGTTTTATTTTGAGTGGTCACACTGCAGGATTTTATCCACAGACTTAAGGACACTGTGTAAAAATGTGCTGAAAGCAAACTCAACGCATCTCGTTTCCTTTCCTTGAACGCACTTTTCACTGCTACAACAAAGCAATGAAGCATACTACATTGTGTTCGATTTGATGTTGTTGTTATTCATTTTTTTTCGATGGTCTGTTGTTAGGCTTAATTCATTATCCATCCTCACAAAAGCGTCTCTGGAAAAGGCTAAAGATAACACTCAGCAGATTGAAAAGTAAGGCTTGCTATATTATGAAAGTGGTTCAATTTGCTGTTCACAGTTGTCTGTTTTTGTTTCTATGTAGTTTATTCATTTATCATCTCTTTTTCTGTAGTGTGATCACGGGTTTTATAAACCTTTACACGTCAATCAATGAGCATCTGATGAAAAAAGCTAAAGAGTAAGTGTACACTTCTGATCTTCACTCTGACATGTTTTGTTACAAAAAAACCAAAAAATTTAAAATTGAGTTAAATTCCGTTATTTACCCTCGGAAGTATTTTTAGCGCTAAGGCTAGTGGGGCCGAGCAAATGCCTGAAACAAATGATTCAAATGAAAGTTAACAGGGCTAAGAATCGCAACTGGCCGTAGACAAACCAGCTGTCTATTTACAAGCGTGGTCGAGGATTTGAACTTGGGACAACCGAGAACAAATCCACCCAGCGGTCAGGGCGGGACTTAAACTCTGGACTTCCGAATTACAAGTCCAGCAGAGCTCTAACCGCTCGGCCATGCTGCCTCCGTGACAAGGAGAAAAGACAAAGTCCGCGAGAGAAAGTACATGTGTTTCCTGAACCTTTTTTTGTTTTATAAATCTCTTTGTAGTGGCATATTCATCTTGTCAAGTCAATTGATAAAACTCGATATGTTTTACTACCCACCTAAACAGCTTTTTAAACTACCGTAAAATTCCGAAAATAAGCCCCGGGGCTTATATTTTTCAAAGGCCCTTTTTGAGGGGCTTATTTTTGGAGGGGCTTATATTCGGAGGGGCTGATCTACGGAGGGAAATTTGCGTTTCAAAATCGATTGTGCTAGCCTTATATTTGGAATAAATTTACCGTTTTTGCTTTGTTTTCCTTTGTATTTGAGGGCAATTTTCCAAGTACAAGCGCCCGGGGGGCTTATATTTGGAGGGGCGATTTAACGGAGGGTTTTTTGCGTTACCGGGTTGGGGGGCTTATATTTGGAGGGGCTTATACATGGAGGGGCTTATTTTCGGAATTTTACGGTAACCCGTTTATTTTTCGTAAGAATTCATCTTTTCTGACGTAGAATTTCTGGTGCACAATAAGGGAGAGTTTCATGACCAAAGAAGGTTTAATTGAACCCAATTTAAGTGGGTTTTAATTTTTGTTCAACAGACTGGAGGAAACAATGACCGGGGAGTCGCAAAACTAGCGGCAGTTGGGGAAAGGCCAGACGCAGCCCTGATGGGCCAATGCTGGCATTCCAGTTTCCTGTCATGGAATCGCCTCCGAGCCAGTGACCCTCACTCAGTCTAGCCACAGGCCAACCATGCTGTTCACAATCACAGACTATCCAGCTTATGAGTTGATCCTCAACTCTACAGTTGAAACCTGTAGTCGTGAACAGGATGAACAATGAAGAGCATTATGGGAATACTCCTGCTCTGATCAGAGGCCTGGGACTCACTGGTTCCCAGACTTCAAATGTGGTCCTGTCTATTCAACGTTTCAAGTTTAGGGACCGTTCATTTTTTATGGGGTAGCGGGGGCTGGTGGGATTTGAAGAAAAGCTCCTGTAGAATATGATGACCCCCCCCCCTCTTCATTAGAAAATTTTTAGGGTGCCCCTTTTTTCCCAAAATAATTGAGATGATGACCCCCCCCTTCCAAAAAAAAAAAACAAACAAACATAACAAAACAAAAAAAGAGAAAACTGAAAAAGAAAGGTTTCTTTTTCTTTTTGTGAACGTAGATACGTTCTTTATAGAATTCAACCCTTGAAAAAAAAACACCAACATTTGACGAATTAAAGGAGTTGCAATAAGAGCGGTGAAGTTTGAAGCAGCGCGAATTCGCTTTTTGGGTGACGTTTGCGATGCCGTTGCCGTCTTCGTTGCTTAAGCTCTTTACTATCACAGATAACGCCGTCGCTGCAAAACTTGAGAGAATTTTTTTGGTGACCCCGAATTTACACCCTATATTTTTTTCGCCTGGCCCCCCTTTGAAGCCATATTTTTTGACATGACCCCCTCAAATCCCACCAACCCCCCTACCGGATAAAAAAATGAACAGAGTGGTGTTAAAACGTAATCGACCGTAATTGTTTCAGTTTTTAGAGGGAAAGGTTGTGGGTTTACAGTCTTAGATCCAACACTTAATTGTATTATCTTAACCCACGTTTAAAAGCTTTTTCAAAAGGCTTTTTATAGTGGATAGTGCGCTTAGCTTATCCAGCTACTTTACAGGCGCTCCACTCAAATACATAGAAACAAATAATTCAAATACAACATAACAGGATTAAAAACCTCAACTGGCAGGAGGCAACCAGTTGGCTTTTCAAGAGCGTGGCCGAGGATTTGAACTCGGGTCGACCGAGAACAAAACCAGCAAGTCGCCAGAGCGGGTCTTGAACCCGGGACCACTCAGCCACGCTTCCTCCTTTCTTAGGTCGATAGCAACGGCCCAATTATGTTAGTATTAGCCCTACGTTGCATTGTTAGAGTAGCTTTTGCCGCGCTATTATTGGTTGTATTTGCTTTTCCCGCGCTATTATTGGTTGTGTTTGCTTTTCCCGCGCTATTATTGGTTGTGTTTGCTTTTCCCGCGCTATTATTGGTTGTGTTTGCTTTTCCCGCGCTATTATTGGTTGTATTTGCTTTTCCCGCGCTATTATTGGTTGTGTTTGCTTTTCCCGCGCTATTATTGGTTGTGTTTGCTTTTCCCGCGCTATTATTGGTTGTATTTGCTTTTCCCGCGCTATTATTGGTTGTGTTTGCTTTTCCCGCGCTATTATTGGTTGTATTTGCCTTTCCCGCGCTTTTATTGGTTATGTGCCTCTGTATGTGCGCGTAGGTGCGACTGGTTCTTGTCTGTCTCTTCTGAGATTTGAGGGAACATTGCATCGATTTAGCTTGATAATTGTGAATCAAAAGCCTGTGTTAACTCTTCTTTTTTGAGTGATACACTTAAAGACTTGTAGCTTTAAGGGGGATCTAACTGCAGTTAAACCGATGTTCCATTTTTTTAACATTTAAGAAGGCAAAACGTCACGAATTTGTCAATATAATCTTTGCATAATTAGTGTAATGTATTAGCACAAACATCCAAAACTTACAAAAGTTTAAAGCAATAATTTGAATTGATATGGTCTCATCTGGAAATCGTTATAATTTGGTTGTTGCTGGAATGTTGGCTGGCCGTCAGCCTAAAGTCGCGTCTGTTTATCAAAGCTACTGTGGGCTTTCTGTAAGCCAGTGTTTAATAACCGTACAAAAAGAGATTATACGTTACTTGTCATCATTACAATTGGGTTCCATATCATTGCTTTCAGTGATACTTAACATATACATCAGTTTAGATACACAAAACGATAAATATATGTGAGGAAGTTGATTTTATTTGGGTCCAGTGTAATTATATAAAATGTATTTTGTGTATACATGTATTCACTAAAGGTACCAAACAATTACGGAGTTTAATTTTCCTTTTTTTATCCTTCGTGGCTGAACCTCTCAGTATATGTCAGCTGATATGTTTGTAATAACACAAAAGGTTTTCTAAGAGTCCACGGTTTTCTGTTTCAGTTACTCACAGTATTATACTATTGGTGTGATTTGTTTTCATACAGCATAATATTAACTCGCCTAAAAAATAAAAAACATTAGTTGCTTTGAGTGTGTATACCTAATCCAGTATAGAACCCTACCCTATTGCAGGGGTTTCAACTGCCCAATAAGGTCTCTCAGGCTCGTACACTGTCCTAGGCCTGTTCAAGGCACAATTGTAATAACTCCTTAAAACAGAACTCACAACGAAATCTGGACAAAACACAGTCAAATAACATCACCTGTCAATCAAAGTGTTTTGCTTTCTACCATCTCCCCAGTTACCCTTTTTACTAGAGATTAATTATACATATTTTAAAAATGCCAAATGCATGCATGGAGTGAAACAGTGAAAAGTCTTCTTATATCTTATAACTTGCCATTTTTTGGGACACGCCCAAAATTTAAGTTATTCACGTAGCGAAGGTTGATAATTTTGTCGCGCAGCGCAGCGCGCGAATCGCTCGTGGTTCATAGCAGACTGCAAACTCGGTTGGCTCATATATATTTTCATTAAACATTGTCTTCTCATTGGCTAAGAGCGTACAGTTAGTTTTGGAAATCATGGCAACCTACATATTATAGTTAGTTACCTGCTAGCAGATTACTGACTAATCCGTGAGTTTCGCGCGCAATGCATCATTATTTAAGAGCAATAACAAACTGTGTTCCATGCGATGCTGTGTTTGCCCGTATTTTCTTCAAAACACCCTATAACAAAGCAATTGTTAGTTTCGAGTTTTTCCAGCAGGTGACACGATAGTCACACGTTAAAACTGCTCCATGACGTCATAAACCAATTAGCAAGGTTAAATGTAATTCGTATAAGGATAACCTATCGCGCTTAACCAATTCTGGTCTCCATCACAGCTGTCCGTCAGATGCCCTTAAGTAGAGCTATTCGAGCCATTTTCTAGTCTTTATCTCGCTTAAACAGAATCCAGACTACCCGAAACTTTGCACACCAGTCGAGTATTACGCTGGATGCTGTTCCCGATGCTTAATAATAGATTCCGAAGCTCGGGCATGTGTAGAAAACAAAATCTGGCGAAAAAAAGGTTTCACTGTCCGCTCAAGTTTTACCTTTCGTTCCCCTTCCTCCCCCTCCCCTGCTTCTTTTGGTTTTCTTTAACTTTTCTTTTTTACGTTTTCCCCAGGCCCAGGTACTTTCAACTGAATTGCCCTTATTTGGGTATGATTTGAAAGTTAACTTCTCCCCCGGGGTGAGTACTCCCTTATATGACCTATACGGGGATGTGCCGCTGGACAAGGTGTGGTTTTTGTCCTTTCTGTCCTAAACAGGGTATACAATTTCGCCCAAGACTGTCCTATGAAGGGTAACGAAACTGAGGGTTTTGTCCTAAACAGGGTTTGTATTTTAGGAATTTTTTGCCCTAAACAGGGTCAGGGTTTCAAACCCTCAGCGGCTCACCTCTACCCAAATTTTGGTCAAGAGAGTAGCTCATTCTGTCTCGTATTGGTCGAGTAACTCCCCGCCCCTCGCTGGGTCTTTCCCCTGCACAAGTAAGTTTTCAAAGGTAATATTACCTTTAATTTGTGTCTATAAGGGCTTGTACTAAAACATGGAACACCGGAATGCCGGAACGCCGGAATACTAAAACCCGGAACACAAAATTACTTAAACCCGGAACGCATGAAAAATAAATAAATTAATAAAAAATAAATATAAATAAAAAACTCGAAACTCGGATGTTAGGATCCCAAAAAAATGTTCTACCCGATTACCAACACAAGGCGTTGGATTTTTGCGTTTGACCGCTGACTGTGCTCGCCGGCTTATTTAGAAATCCTAAGACCTGAAATTGGAGAATTTTCGATCCATTTATTAACAATACGCGATGCGGTCGCTAAAATTAAAATATGGTCTATTTGTAGCACTTCGTGTGAAAGATCAACTGCACGCCACCTAATCATGACCTAATGACAAGTAGTGTATTCGCCGAATATTATCCACGTACAGTACCAAAGAGTACTTAACTTTGCGGTTGAACTGACCAACATTCACTGATATCATCAAATAAAACATACAGTAGTAGTAGTGGTGAAAAGGATAAAACTCTAATACAGTAGTATTCGAAGAATCGATGAGACACTGAATCGAAACATTCCAAAACTCAAGTGCTTACCTCTTTTTTTTTCAGGCTTTTAGGACTGCTGCTAAACACAAAACAATAATTACTTAGCTGATATTTAATACTTCTTAAACGTAATAAACGAAAAGAAACGAGTTTTAAATAAAGAACGTAACAACACTTACCTCGCAGAAGCGTCCATTTTCCCAACACTGTACCACTACATGTTACTTACATTATCACAATTACATTTTGGCGGGAAACATCACCAAAATCTTTGCCACCCGGAAATAGAGGATCGACACAAAATACTAGATGGTTTCTTAAAACACATTATAATCATCGATTAAAAATAAATATCACAGCAAAACGTTCTTACCAAATAAAGATAATCAAGGTTTTTTTTTTTTGGCAGGCGGGTTTGTGGGTGGGTGGGGATACTGGGGGAATTTTCCTGTTTGAATTGAAGTACTCAGTTATGGGTTTTAGAAATACAGGTTTTAATTAATTCATTCATTTCTTTCTTTATTTTTTATTTATTTTAGCTAAAATGCGTTCCGGGTTTTAGTATTCCGGCGTTCCGGCGTTCCGGCATTCCGGCGTTCCATGTTTTAGTACAAGCCGTCTATAAGTGACTTTTATTACATTTGTGACCAGTTATTACATTTGCCTTCAACAGGCCTAGGCCAAACGTCGAACTTTTCATGACACGAACCAAACCCTAATTTGGATCGACCTAAATTCAGTTAAGATCGTCTGTTGGGTCATACGTCAACCAATCAACTAAATCAGATCAGTGCGGGATTAATTTTCTCCCGAATGAGGCTAGAAATACATATCATACGAACTTTTAATTTATTAGTTTAGTTTGTTGCAT